TCTCTGTCCACCACTCCTTCAGCTACCATGTCTCTGTCCACTCCTTCAGCTACCATGTCTCTGACCACTCCTTCAGCTTCCATGTCTCTGTCCACCACTCCTTCAGCTACCATGTCTCTGTCCATTCCTGCAGCTACCATGTCCCTGTCCACTCCTTCAGCTACCATGTCTCTGTCCACCACTCCTGCAGCTACCATGTCCCTGTCCACTCCTTTATCTTCTAAGTCTCTGTCCATTCCTTCAACTACCATGTCTCTGTCCACCCCTTCAGCTTCCATGTCTCTGTCCACTCCTGCAGATACCATGTCTCTGTTCACTCCTGCAGATACCATGTCTCTGTCCACTCCTGCAGATACCATGTCTCTGTCCACTCCCGCAGATACCATCATGTCTCTGCCCACTCCTGCAGATACCATGTCTCTGTCCACTCCTGCAGATACCATGTCTCTGCCCACTCCTTCAGCGACCATGTCTCTGTCCACCACTCCTTCAGCTACCATGTCTCTGTCCACTCCTGCAGATACCATGTCTCTGCCCACTCCTGCAGATACCATGTCTCTGTCCACTCCTGCAGATACCATGTCTCTGTCCACTCCTGCAGATACCATGTCTCTGTCCACCACTCCTTCAGCTACCATGTCTCTGCCCACTTCTTCAGCAGCATTATCTCTGTCAGTAGCTTTCTCTCTGTCTACTCCTCCATCTAAAATACTGTTAACCTCCTTATTTATGTCCATTCCATTAGCACTCATGTCTTCTATCTCATGTCTGTCCTCTCTATCAGCTACCATATCTCTGTGGCCTTTGTCGGTTAACTCCTGATCTCTGTTCTCTCCTTCTTTTATTTTGTTTCTGTCTGTTAACTTATTTAAAACATTTTCATACTTGTATAGAGCTACAAAAAGAGAATAGACTAAAAAATAAAAAAAATAGGGGATTGTGAGAAAAAAAGATTTCTCAATACGAATAAGGTACACCGGTTCGATTTTCACCATTCCATTCATATGTCTTTGGTTAGTCCACTTAAGTGTTTGATGAAACCGCCAAAACATGTTTGCATGAAGACCTTCACTACCCCTATTTAAAATTTGAATGGTGTAAATTGATGCTCGAAGTTGATCACTGTGCTGAACTGAAGTTGAGTATGATATATGTCATAGTCAGCACACTAGGAACTTTAGTATTTGTGCTCTATAGAAATTTGGATGTTATGTTACAGGACGTCTAAACCACTATCTAGGATAAAGTCTAGGATAGGTGAACTCACCAAATGCCCATTGCACATCATCTTCAAAACATTTCAAAGTTTCATATTTTTTCTGTTTCTTCAGTTTTTCTGAAATTTAAGATAGTACGGTACAAATAGGAATAGACTGACTCAATTATAAAACAATAAGTTTTATTCTTTGTGGAGGTATCTTGATACTAGCCACTACCTGAGAGATTTAATAAGAAATAACTGAATTTTATTGATTGAATGCAATTGGCAAATATTTAGATATCGGCAAAAATGTAGGCCTAAATAAAATTGATGTTAAAAAAGGTGACAGTAGTATTGAGAGTTCCAAGAATAGGAAACTATCTTATTTTAAATACCTGAATAACTAACTAGAAACTGCAAGTTAAATTGTTTTTTGGATAGAGAATCCTACTGACCCCCAAAACAAGTCAACATTAAAATTAACAAATTAATAAGAACAAGTTAACACTAGAGCCACTCGTGGCACAGAGTGGGACTTTGCAAAGGTAGCAAATTGCAAAAGACCCCGAAAAAATCATCCTTCCACGATAATTAGATCAAGCGCAAGAACAGTCTAAAGTTGAGAAATTTTCATTTTTTAGAAGATTCTAATACCGGAAGTAGACGTCAGACCTTACAAATGAAAGTATCAGCATATATCCAAGGTCAATGACCTTTGATCTTGAAAAGGAGAAGGCCTAAAAAGGTCAAGATCAAGAGATATACGCCATTAAAATTTCAAATTGCTAACGACTATCAAACCAGAAGTTGACTTAGGACAGCAAATATAAAAGTATAAATAGATAGCCAATGCCAATGACGTTTGATCCTACAAAGGTCAAGGTCAACAAAGGTCAAGGTCAAAAATTGAAAATTTTGAATTTCCAAAACCTGTTCCTTTTTTTGAACTATGAAGCGGAAAAAACCAAAATTCTAAGACAAAGTGGCTCANAATATGAGGTAATTGTGTAAAAAGTTCCATTTTGAACAAATGTATACTTTGCGAGTTATGCCCCTGGCCAAAAATGTCAATAATGAGTA